AGTGAAGTGTATCAGTCTCTGCAGTAGCTTCCAGCTGCAGCAGTCATTTCAGTTTCTGTTCAGTTTGACTGAGGGAGGTTTTTGTACGACGCTTTTTCACTGTGTGAACAACCACTGACTGTTGATGTTATGTTCACTCTGACAGTAGTAAACTGCTGCATCTTCAGTCTGGACTCCACTGATGGTCAGAGTGAAGTCAGAGTTTGATCCACTGCCTGTAAAACGATCTGGAATCCCTGATGCTCGAGTGCTAGCATAGTAAATGAGGAGTTTGGGAGTTTCTCCATCTCTCTGTTGGTACCAGTGTAAATAGCTCCCACCATAAACATCCTGACTGGTCCTACATCTGATGGAGACGGAGCCTCCCAGAGCAGAGCTCACTGCTCCAGGCTGAGTCACTGTGACCTGGCCTCTGGACTCTGAGGATACAGAGACAAAAACATAAAGCAGCGTCATGGTTTTGTCGGCTTCATTTCAGAGGGACGGATGTTCATAGAGGAGAGGAGTTTGATTCTCTGGACTTTACCTGTGAAGCAGCAGCAGAGGAGAGTCCAGATGAGGACGCAGATCAAAGTCATGTTTTTGATGAGGAGGATTTCTGTGGCTTCTGTTGTCATGAAGGACAGCTGTCAGTCATCCAGTGTTCAACTCTCAGGACTATAAACTCTCCCAGAGCACTGGAGCATGGTGCTGCTGATGCAAAGTGGCTCTCTATGGAAATGCTTTGACTAACTCCAGTTAGTTATACTATATTTTAATATGGTATAGTAAAAATACTATGATCATAACAAACCAACTTCTGCCAGTACAAATCATCTTTTCAGCACCATTATTTTGCTCTGTATAGCAATTTAAGAGACAGTAAATGCTTTTCTTTTATTCTAACAGAGTTAATGCACATCTCTGCCATCTAATGTTGTGTCACTACCAGAGCAGATAACAGGTAGGGGTTACACAGAACTATCAATCGTCTGCTGTGCTGTAGAGACACATTTATACAGATGTGCAACCGCAGCTTTAAAATTTTTTATCTTCTTCATATCACATTTATTTTCCTTTCACAGGTTGATATTCATTGTTTACTCTTCTGTTTGTTCCTTAATGTTTCATTCAACACTTGATTTGCTGTCATCAATTGAGTTATTCTTAAATGTTTTTATGGTAACACATGTGGCATTTAAACAAATTTGAAAAGTTGAACGAATATTGTTTGGAAGATTCCAAAGGAAATTTAGAGATCGCTGTTTCTTGTTTATATCTGTGTCATTCTATGATACACACGTTCATTTTGTACAGTATGACGTTGCTGGACCACAAAGTCCAATAACACGGTTGCTGAATGTAAAATTTACTACAGTTTCCTCCATTATAAAGTTGTAGCTGTTATTTGCCACAGTAATAAGGATTTGTACATTCTTCTTGTGTTAGCTCCTGTCTCCAGAGACAATAGAGCCAATGTTGTATTCCCCAACATAGTTCTGAGACTGACAACATTAAGTGGAGAGAGTTTGTGCTGAGATTGTATTTCTGATTCCAAGTTCAAGAAAGAACTTTAAATGTCAATGTATTTGTTGAATTTTTTGTTGCATATAAAAAAAATGCTTTGTATTCAGTAATAGTAATGTGTAGATGTAGTCAGATGACGTACGTATTCATGATTTTTTAATAATTCCAATTGATATTTAGCTGTTCTTTACACAACTGTCACATCCCCGGCTTGTCTAGGGGCGTGGGACTAACAAAGAGAAATAAACCGGGTGGAAAAAACCATGGGTGACCCAAAACACGTCAAGTTAATGTATTTATTTCAAATTAGTAACAAAAAAAGGTGTTTAACAACTTAAAGCGATCTTTCATCCTATCAGAGATGATATGGGGTTTGTTATGTAAAGTAAATTAATTAACAAGATATTCAGCGAAAAATATGCAACACAATACACGGTCTCTACGGCTCCCAAAGTGCTGGTGAGGCACATGTGGAGATCGCCGCTCCTCTCACTACACCGGCTTCCAGTTGGTCGTGAACACCGGGCCGACGGCTGCCACCGCAGAGTCACCAGACATACAGCGCGAGAAGGAGTTAAGATCACGTCCCGCTACGGACCACACAATAAACCACACAGTAAGTCATACAGTCTAACACGAGCAGCCAAGGAAGAGTGAGAGTCAGAGCACTTCACTGGCTCAGCTTGAAACCCACTGATGGCCGCTGACCAGCTCCAGCTGCGGGATTTACGCAGCGCCAGGCTCAAGGCCCAGGTACAGACCTGCAGAAAAGAGACAGAGACACCCACAGCAACACAAGCACAACCCACAGACCTCACGGGTCGTAACAACATTTTTATATTTGAAATAATATTTTGTGAGTTGAGGGAGTTTTGTTTGGACCATTTTTTACCATGAAGGTGTCTGATGCTGATCTGTCTTCATATTTCCTTTAAACTGGAGCCAGAATGAGATAGAGGTCAAAGGTCATGGCCAAGCACAATAGCTGTTAAAGGAACAATGGTGACATTTTCAGTCCACTTAATGAAATTTTGTATGTGTTGAGTTGTGCGTGTGTGTGTTTGTGTGTGTGTGTGTGTGTGTCCTCAGTGAAGTGTATCAGTCTCTGCAGTAGCTTCCAGCTGCAGCAGTCACTTCAGTTTCTGTTCAGTCTGACTGAGGGAGGTTTTTGTACGACGCTTTTCCACTGTGTGAACAACCACTGACTGTTGATAACATGATAACTCAGACAGTAGTAAACTGCTGCATCTTCAGTCTGGACTCCACTGATGGTCAGAGTGAAGTCAGAGTTTGATCCACTGCCTGTAAAACGACCTGGAATCCCTGATGCTCGAGTGCTAGCAAAGTAAATGAGGAGTTTATGAGTTTCTCCATCTCTCTGTTGGTACCAGTGTAAACGGTTAGAGCTATATACATTCTGACTGGTCCTACATCTGATGGAGACGGAGCCTCCCAGAGCAGAGCTCACTGCTCCAGGCTGAGTCACTGTGACCTGGCCTCTGGACTCTGAGGATACAGAGACAAAAACATAAAGCAGCGTCATGGTTTCGTGAGCTTCATTTCAGAGGGACGGATGTTCATAGAGGAGAGGAGTTTGATTCTCTGGACTTTACCTGTGAAGCAGCAGCAGAGGAGAGTCCAGATGAGGACGCAGGTCAAAGTCATGTTTTTGATGAGGAGGATTTCTGTGGCTTCTGTTGTCATGAAGGACAGCTGTCAGTCATCCAGTGTTCAACTCTCAGGACTATAAACTCTCCCAGAGCACTGGAGCATGGTGCTGCTGATGCAAAGTGGCTCTCTATGGAAATGCTCTGACTGACTCCAGCAGGGACTTGATTACTCTGATGATGCTGTTTATCAATGGATCAATCAGTTTATCAGAGTATTCATCTCAAATGGTTTAAAATCTTTTTTACAGGTTTCATGCTACAAGATATATTTTGTTTCAAAATATCTTCTGCCTAAATTTCCAAAGAAAAAATATAGAAATTAAATTTAACATTAATATATCTAACTAAAACATCCATTCTGGAAATTTGTGTGACTGTCTTAATTTTACATCTCAGCTGATAAAATATTACAATCAGAGACTATTTTTGGTGAGTTTGTTTGTGTCAAAATCAGAGAGCCGTGTCTCTCTACAGTGAGAGGTTTTTGTACGGCGGCTCAATGAGTTTGTATCACTGTGGTTGACTTTTGGTGGAGGAACCAGACTGGATGTTGGAAGTAAGTCAAACATTTAACAAACTTTTATTGACTTGTTGTTTTTTTCTTTTATATTCAGCATGCCAAAAAACCTTTTGAATGTCCATATTAATGTATAATGTTTAATCTAATACTTTGCACTAGGAAACAAAGTTCCCTTCACCAAAAAAAACTCAACTCATTGCAATGAAATATTACATATTAGCAAAAGGGAAAATGATTTCCATCTTTACTGGTTAAGTTGTATCTTGAGAGGTTGTAGCTTTAGTTCTGCCTGAAAAGGTCTACAGTGAGGGTTTTTTGTAGTGCAGCTCAATGTGTTTTTCTCACTGTGGTTGACTTTTATTGATATTTTAAATTCAGCTTTTGAATGTTTGATGGAGATAAATATATTTAGTTTGTTTCAGTGATTGGGTTTTTATTTCTCCTCATTTACCAGCAGCTTTACTAAACATTTCTTTACACATTACTCACACTGAAATTCAAACAGCTTGAAGTGGAGAACAGATAAATAATAACAATAATAACTTTAGTTATGATTAAATACAACCCCGCGACCCTGTACGCAGGATAAGCGGTTGATGATGGATGGATGATTAAATACAATTCACTTTCTCCACGTAAAATTGAACAGAGGAAATATAAAAATGGGTGTTTCAAAATGTTGCATATTGTGTATTTGGTTCACCTCATCATTAAAGCTGTAAGTTTAGAAACACTTTGGTAATGATTGAAATCTGGATGAAGAACATTTGATTGTTGTCAATTAGTTTGATATATTTCAGGTCGTTCTGTATGATGATTCTCTCTGTGCTGATTTGCATGAGAGGCTTCTTAAAGGGAAGTGAAACAATGTGTGAGAGAGTGACTGGTGGAGCAGAAAAAACATCTGACAGAAACTCCTTAAAGGAGAAAATCAGCTCTCACACAGCAAAGGTGTCCTCTAAGCTGATTGGTGTCTCCTAGGTGATGTCCGTCCCACCCTGACGGTGCTGCCCCCCTCCAGTGAGGAGCTGCAGCAGGGGAAGGCCACGCTCATGTGCCTGGCCAACAAGGGCTTCCCCTCAGACTGGAGTCTGGCCTGGAAGGTGGACGGCAGCAGCAGCAGCAGCAGCTGGGAGGAGAGCAGGAGCCCCGGGGTGCTGGAGAAGGACGGCCGCTACAGCTGGAGCAGCACCCTGAGGCTCCCTGCAGACCAGTGGAGGAAGGTGGGCTCTGTGACCTGTGAGGCCACCCAGGGCTCCCAGGCTCTGGTCTCAGAGACAATGAGGAGAGACCAGTGTTCCCAGTCCTGACCTGACTCACTGGGACTCTGCTACTAGTTTTAATCTGCTTTCTGTAACTCTGTCTCTCTCAGACAAAAGTTTTAAATAATACTATTTTCTTATTCATAGTCACGCTGACTCTATAATCTTTTTCAGATAATAAAGATAGTTTTGTTCAAATCAAAATGTTTCTGAGGATATTATTATTTAAACAGAAGTATTATTCTTTTTAAAATTAAAATTATTAAACTACTGTCAGAGCTTATTAATAGACATTTTCTAGGCTTTAATTTTAATTTTATTAAAAATGTCTGAAATCATAAAACTACATAAGTACAGCATGATAATGTTTTCATTTTTCAATGTTATAATAAAGCATATTTATGTGGATAAGAAAGATAAGTGAAAGTCCTGTTCAAAATTACCTTTACATAACTGTAAAACAGAATATATATTGTTTTACAGCACAGGAAAAGAATAACAGGAAATATCAGCATAAATGGATATAACATTCAGGCAATCTGAAACAAAAAAGTATTTTAGTAACATCTCAAGCACAAATGTAAAAAAAAAGATGAAGATGATTTCTAATGGGTTACTATTTATAAAGTGGATTAAATTTCATTATTAAACATTTAGTTTCTGAGTTTTATAGTACAATTTCATTTGTAGTGATTTACTTTTGCACTGAGTTTTGTGTTGAATTTATTTAAAAGAGTAAGAATTGTCATCTGTATGAACTGTCTAATGACACAGTTGACATCAGTTGACTAAAAGTTAGAGAAGTTGTAGAGAAATGTATTCTTCACCCAAAATCATGATCAATAAATGCAGTACTGTTATGTTTGAAATGTTATTAATTTACACATAATTATAAGAAATATTTTTGTCATGTCTTATGTTTAATTTTCTGTGCAGCTGTTGATTCAGATCAGTTCCTCTCCAGCTGCGAGAGGTTTTTGTATGACGTTGTATCACTGTGTGAGTGGGAAGCTGTTATGCTGCTGACAGTAATAAACTCCTGTATCTTCAGTCTGAACTCCTCTGATGGTCAAAGTGAAGTCAGTCTGTTGGGCTGTTGCACTGAAACGATCTGAAACTCCAGGCTGACGAGCTGTAGTATCATAAATGAGGAGTTTTGGAGCTTCTCCAGCTTTCTGATGGTACCAGTTAATGTCATCACCTATAAGTGTACTGGCTTTACATCTGAGAGAGACAGTCTGTCCTGGAACAACAGACTGAGCTCCAGGAGACTGAGTCAGGATGATTTCTCCTGATGAATCTGGAAAACGAGGAGAAAAAAAAAAAGAGGAGAAGGGTTATTGAGACAAATCCAGTTTGGAGAAAGATGATCAACATCCAAACAGAAGAGTCTCATTTCTTTAACATGGAGAACAGATGGAAGAAGGTAAATGCTGCTTGTTTCAGTGTTTCTCCATCACAGCAGAACATCATTGTGGTGAACCTGGTTGCATCCTGAAGCAAAGTTTTCAGAAGAGAGTCTCACCCTGAACAAGGAGCCCCAGGGTGGCCAGCAGTAGAATCAGTGACATCATCATTGTGCTGCCGGCGTGTCAGTGGCTCTGAAAGGCCTGGACAGCCACTGATCAACACTGGCCTCTTAACGGCTGGGAGCAGAGAGGCAGGACACATATGCAAACACACAGAGTCAGTGAGCTGTAGCTGTCCTCAACATATCATGGTGTTTCCCCCTCAGTGCTGAGAGCGTTGATCTACATATTTACATATTTACATGTAGACGATCCTGAGAACATGTCATTTTCAGTAACTTATACATGTAATATGGTAATATGGTGTTTTAGACCATGATTAGTGACATTAATATCAATGTTGGTTTGACATATTTAGGTGTCTGTAATATGGAAATTTCTTTAAGTAAAGTAGTGTTGGGTGTTTGAGGGGATGCTGAGGCCGACGATCTCAGAGAGCTTCCTCGAGAAACTCCAACCAGAAAACATGGAAGTCATCATCAGTTACATTACTGTTTTTATGACATGATCTTCCTCAGCAGATGGAGTTCACCCAGCTGTCATGGAATATTTTAACTTTGAAGCCAACGTGGACATGAAGTCCTAAAAATGCTCAGAGGAATGTGAATTTGAAAATCTGCATTTCAATGAAAACTGGGTAACTCCATCTGCTAAGAAAGATCATGTGATGTGATTGAAAGCTCCACAACAGTTAGTGGATTGTAGTGAACAACGGTGTGGATTTGTGCATTTTACATTGAATAAATTTGGAGCTACCCTAAATTCCTTTCTCCTCCCCAGAGAAGAAGGGGAGGGGTCAAAGTTGCTTTCTCTAAGTGCTATCCCGACCATAAAACTGGCACCTTTTTGATTCCGAAGCTGATAACGCGGGGCCTGACTGTTAAACTGACAAAGGGACACGAGCCAGCCATTGGCATCTCCCTGAACAGCCTATCAAAACTGGCCCCCCACACACGTTTCCGTGGCAACTGACCTTATTCTTTGTTTTATTACCACATCAAAGGGATACTCCTTGTCTCACCTAAGTATGACATTGTCCAGGACAGCTGAACTTTCAATGTAAAAGGACTGCAGTCTCCAAAAGACTCAAAGCATCTAATTAAATTTAATTAAATCTTTAGTTACCTGAATATGTTTGCCTCTATTTGAGTAGTTATGTTAACTGTTGTTGCTATCTGTTGTTGATATTAGTGCTGAAAAGAAGTTACTTGTGCAATGTTTTTATTTTCAGCAAGACACTCCTTCATCTAATGTAATCCAAGCTTTCCTCGTGTAACCTGAGCTCCCCCAAGTGGGCGAAATAAGTATTACATGCCCTCGTCGGAAATGCCGTTAAATGTATAAATATCCTGACCACTAATGTGACAATTGTTTCCTGTTACCAAATGCTTAGAACGGTACAACCGTTCAACCATTGAGGTTCGATTGTGGAAAATATTTGATTATAATACGTGCAAATAGATTTCTTTTCTTTAGACATTAAGTTTAGAAAGGCAGTCCCTTGGGAAACCTGAGACGCCCCCTGGGGAACCACGCCCCAGGCAACAAAAGAGCGACACGCGACCTCGCTTCTGGCTCTCTCTTCTCTTCGCTGTTCGCTCTTCCACCCTGCTCGGCCCTCTGGACGTTTCGGCACGAGCAGCGTGCCTCGCCAGGCAACGCCCAGACTCGGCCAGCGAAACAAACAGGCCCTTTGTTTGCCTGAAGCTACACACCTGAAGTGCCGCGACATCGATCTGCCTTCAGTTTGTTTTAATTTCTTTATTTCTTTTGTTTGTTAAAGTTATCAGTCCGTTAAGTTACACTGGACTAATTCAGGAACGACCGAGTTCCATTTTAAGCCTTTTTCGTCGAGCCAACTTCACCGAGGTCAGACCAAGCCACGTGGTCTCGCCAGTGACAACGAAGGAAACCTGAAAACAGCCGAATTGCCAGACGGAGGAGGCGTTTTCAATCAGACATGGAGAACCCTGGAGAATCCCTAGCAAAAAGCCAGGATCGGCAGCTAGCGTGGGACCCGTGCAACAGGCCAAAAGCAGGCTGTCGACAAGCAGTAAGACTTAACACACGTCCTGTGATCAGAATGTCGATTTAACTCCTAAACTATAGCATTAGTTTACTTTCATTAGCTCTTCTATGCCGTATGAGTCAAATGCTTCCCACAACCGAACCTCCAGGCTCATTATTCAGCTAATGTTTATGTTCCCTGTATCCAACCATCTTTTTATCACCTTAGTTAGAGAATAAATTCACTGCAATATAATCAAGAGCTGTGTGTGTTGCCTATTTATAGTTCCTGCCAAGAGAATTGACCCTTTAGATATGAGACTGACTGACTGATTTAAGATAATTGAGCGATTATTAACTAACTGATCACTAGTAATAATTGTATAATTATTCAAAACTACCTAGAGGTCCGGAGACTCTAGGTTTATAACAACTCCGGTGGTGCCCTTAACGAGGAAATAAATAAATTTTGATTTTTATGAATAAAAATAAATAATTGGGTATCAATTCTTATAAATTTATTTAAATGCATAACTAATAAATTTAGGTCTACTACATAATGGAGGCTGTCGTGTGAAGCCTTGTGACATACTATAATAGACTATACACACAGCCCTGATGCAGAGAAATTATTATTGAGTCCCAGAAAAATTTTCCCTCCAAAATTTTGCCACTGAAATAATTATCGCCCAGTAAATTGCTCCATAGAAACTCTCCTGTCTTCCCTCTTAACTTAACGTTAGTGATGAAAGTGTGTGTGAGTTTTGACCATGTTCTTTGTTGTTAATGAAATGCTTTGTGCAACTTGTTTGGCCGCCGGGCCATTGTTCTTTGTTGTTCAGTACAGAGCTGTAGTGAGCTGAGCTATGAAGACCGAGCTAATGTTAAACTGAATGCATTCCTGTAACGTTACCATTTGAGAAATCTGAGCTAAAGCTACATACAATCTCTGATGACGAGCAGATGAAATGCCCTTTTGGTTGAGAGAAACTTAACCGATATTGATAATTTTAAGGCCTAATAAGAGGCAGACAGATTACAGTTGCGCTGTGCCAATGTGATTTGTTAGCGGCTATAAATAACAGTCTGACGCGCTGAGCCGTGGGTTGTTATGTTATATGAAAAACTCCGGTAATCTGTTGAAATTAGCTACTTCAACAAATACAGCTGCCCGGCAGTGGAGTCACAGGCGTGAAGACGCCGAGTTTAGCCTGTAGCGTTGTACCTACCGAGCTAAGTTAACGCTAAATCGCTTGAAATAGCTTGAAAGCAAGCTGAGTCATTGTCTATGAAGATTCTCAGTCATCCAGGTCATAGTTATCCAACGAAGGTTAAAATCAAGGGCAACTGGACTTGGTTGAAGATACTGGAAGACGTTTCGTCCCCAAGCTGAGTCATTGAAACAAAGGAGCGAGTCCTTCCCCCATTTTGAGCGGGACTGGTGTCCGTCAGTGTTCTGATTTACTGCCGTTGCTGCAACAACGGTTTGCTAACTGACGCTTCTTCTTCTACATTGAGAAATAAGCCACGCCCGAGGCGGAGCCACAGCTCCCCTACTGGCTGGCGGAATAAATTGCATGCTCTGCATTAAATCGACTTCAGCGTCATCAGTGGCAGAGATGAGCGTTTGAATCGAGTGAATTAAACCAGACTTTGGTGATAGATCTTGTTAACTTAAGACACATAAACCATTGTGTTGACTCTCAGATTAAATTAATAAGGAGTGCTACTCCTTAAGTGTAGGATAGAGCACAGGCTCTCCTTTTTCCTTGAATAACCTTTAATGATCTATTGGGTGTTTGTTTGTAACAAGGTACTGAGCAGGGACGTGCACAGGGGGGTTGCTCTGGTTGCCCGGGCAACTGCCCGTTTGCCTTTCCTGACTCAAGTTGCCCTTCCGACTCGCCCTTCCGAGAAAAAAATAAAAAAAAATAATCGCGATCGCAAAGCCTCATTCACTTCCATTCGGGAACCGAAAGTGAAAGTCAGTAGGGGAAGGGCAAACTCTGTTTAAGTGGCTGCACTGCTGCAGCGCTGCCTGCACGTCAGTCGATTCTGTTCCCTACCGGAATTCCTGTTTCCTTCCTTTATGCAATCATACTACAACAAATCATGCGTAGTTTTGCCCAGTTACCATACGTGATACGTACCAACAGAAGTGAATACGAGCTAGAAGCGCAACTGAATGTACGGGAAGCCAAAAGGTTAAAAAAGGATTGTATTTTTTTCCGAAATCTAAGCGTTTTTTTATTTAATATTTTATTAGAAGCGAGTTTTCACCATCTGTCAATTCAATCTAGATTATTTATTTTCAAATAAAAAAAGGAAAAAAAATAACAAATAATAATGATTAAAAAAAAATAAACAATAATATAAGGAACTCTTTTTCTCATATGTATTTTGGTGACATTTATATTGTTAATACATTTTGGATACTGTGTTTAGTGCCTTTTTTCAGGTCAGAGCAACTGCCCTTCAAAATTCCTGTGCACGTCCCTGGTACTGAGCCAGTTTGGTACCCTAACCTAGGATTACACTGAGTAGTTCTATTAATTTTGATGCAATCTTTTATTCAAAGATTCGCTTTTCTAATTTTGATCCAGCTGTATTTGAATAAAAGCTTTATTCTCATTACTGCTGCAATATCCCTGATTTTGACTTTGTCATTTTGAAGCCTTTTCTGTAGTGCTATTTTTGATCCTTGCAGGAATAAATAAATACAGAATAACATCTTGATTTGAATTTTGTTAACCTTTTGGACTGATTGGAATTCTGAAACCACATTAAGCTTGATAAGTTGAATTGATAGCTTTCCAACTAGGCTTTCTTTAATCCTTGTTCATTATAAATGTAATTTGGACTCTGACTTTTATAGCAATTGGAATTTGATAACTTGATAACTACCAAAGGGTAATTAAAATCTTCAGTTTAATCAGCTTTGATTTTTTTTTTATTTAATCCACTTTAATCAGCCTGGGGTTTTTGTTAATGTAACTTTGAACTTTGAGTTTATTCTCATTGCCTTTGAACTTTGATTTTAGAAA